TCGTACTAAGGACTGTTTACAAATTAATTAGGGAGCAGAAAGGGCACGCATCATTCACAATCAGCAGATCTCGTTATTGAACGGACGATTACTGCAATGTTCAGCTATCAATGTGTTACTCCACGCTTCTCGCTCCAGGTATTATTGTCGCGTGGGTAACCGGTTCTCCGTTCGGTAAATGCTAGTTGTCAACATGGACATTTTTCAAATTATCCTCGTCTTCTTTAGCTGGAATATGTACTTTCCCGTAGGCAGTAAGTTTGGGACCTCTCGTATGCGGACCGAATCGTGTCCTGATTTTGTTAAGTGATGGTGACTAGCTGAACCTTTTAAAACTTGGCTCTCTGTTTACCTGTGAGAATCAAGGTCGAGATTTCTTAAAAGCTATGGTTCGGTTTTTTTTTTCCATGAACATGCGAAGTGAAAAGCATGTCGAGAATATCGTGCCACATTTTATTAGTTATTTTATTATTTTTATTTTTTTTTTTTTGGTTTTTTCTTATATTTCCAAATATATTATCTTTTAGTTTTTTTCTTTTGTTTTAAATATAGACTACAAAAATAATTAGAATATATTCTATTATTTTTCTTTGTTTTTTATTAAAAAGTTTTTTTTTTTTCTCTCCTGTAAACGTACTATAAAATAATCCTTAGTCTTTATTTGTTTTTTCTTTCAACAGTATTATATATGTATTTAAATGTTGTTACATGGGCTGACGTGCTTTGAATTGGAAGCTCTTATGCTGTTGCCTCAAGGAAAATTAAACCCCGATTAATGTACTTGTATAATTATGTGTACTGTTATTTCCCTATTTTAGTATTATTAACCGTTTCCTATATCGTTGTTTGTTTGTAACTTCATCTTTCTTGATTCCTTGTTTAATTAAATTTACAGTTTGCGGCTTATTGCTGCTTTTTCGAAGCCCTTTTCAACGTCATCTTTAAGCGACAATTTTTTTTTTTTTTTCATTTTCTATTTACCCTATGTTTTTTTCGTTCCTCCCATTTGTCTACACATCAGTAACCCTCTTGCTCTCCATTGTCCAGAAGTCGTACTAATATTTTCAAGGCAGAAGTTCAATGGCTCTAACCGATGTGCAGTTCCAAGTACAGACGTGATTTCTAGCTTTCAACAAACTGCATTTCAATATAACCACAATGGACACTTAACAAAGCGAAAAGAAACTGACAATCTACACTACAGACTATGCCATGCAGCACCCACTTCGCTATTAGTATTTCAAACAGTCATTGAAGGTGAATACAGCAGGACAAACAATCCATTGAAAGCAAACTGAATCTTTAGAATTGCAGCAAGAAAGAATACCTGAGATATCAGCAGTCATTGCCTCTTGGTCTGGAAATCTATGCTAGCACAGGTCTGGTTTCTGGATCAACTTCTGATACTAACTTTAGGAGTATCTTTGAAATACATGCTGACTGAAACAGAGGTTTTTGAAATTTTGTACCTTTTAAACAAGTTTAAGCTTAGGCTTTTTTAACACAATATTAAAAAATGATAGCACGCTAATACCAATCAGGAAAAAATAGTTAGATTTTGAAAGTTATCAAACTGACAGCTCCAGCTCATTAATTTTTTAGAACCCTTTTAAACTGTTCCCTGTGACAAAAATATACTTGTACATTGGGGCCAACCTTGGCACTTAACGGTGCGATTCTTTTATGAAAGCTTTTATGACAATTCTGGCTTATCAGTGGCACCATAGAATATATTTGGGGCGCATTTTTCGCAGAGCAGACTAAGTGCGGGCCTAATGCCAGCCTTGCAAGCAATGCTTTATCCACCTTGCCATCTCGCAAGTCTCTAAACGCTGGTAAAAGTGTCCACGAATTCTAAAGTTGGACATTTTCACATTATTTCACATTTTAAGGCGTATTCGGCTATAGCCCTACAAACCACAGTTGCGCTTTTTAAGCGAAGGACAACTACAGAATTAAAAAGCTGTTAATGGTA